ACCGAGGCGATGCTTCGAAAAGAGTCTGAACCGCAGACTAACGGCCAATCCCTCGTAGCGCAAAGCACCGAAGCGGGCGGCGCGAGATACACAAAAGCATTCGAGCTCCTTCGCAAATACACCGAAGACAACCTGGATTTGTACAGACCAGAGTTGCGGAAGCTGCTGTGGCCTGTTTTCGTCTACTCGTACCTCGACATGGTGCGCGACTTCTACACCAAGGATGCGGAAACCTTCTTCGCGACGTATCAGGGTCTTTTCGAGCGCGACCACGACGAAGATATCAAAACACTTCGCCAGGTCCGGTTACAAGCACATTTGCAGGAGAGCCGCATCGCAAAGCTATACATCGACAACAAATACCGCATCACGCTGACGACAATGCCCTTCTTCAATCTCATTCAGTTCCTCGAGTCGAAGCAATTTGACGGCGGTTCGACAATCATAGACGTGATCCGGGAACACCTGAACATCGTGACCGTCGACCGAACGGCCACGGCCGAGAAGAGTATAGCAGCAATCCTTGCAAGTGGACATGGCGAAGACGAGCTTCCAGCAGAAGACGAAGGTATCCCAGGACACGCCCCAGGCCATCCCCTCACTGCGCGCCATGATCCGGAAGCTGAGGCTGCCCGTATAAGGCTGCAGCTAGGCGCATACCCACAAGAGGCAGATCTGCAGGAAGATGTCCGCGCAGCTTTACAGGACGAGGATGCTAAAAGCGCGCCAAGACCGGGACAAGCAAGCTTAGTAGAGGAGTTCGAGCAACGCATAAAACAGGAGCCAACAGAAGACGGACCCTCGCGGGAGTTTGTTCCTCTGCCGCCTTCACTTGCGCGCGACGTCTCCATGGAGGTTCAGAAGATCATCGAGCACCGAGATCGCTACAAGATGGAAGGCAGAACAGGCGGCGTTGGCCCAGCTGTCAGCGTCACCATGTACACCTTCCATAACACCTACGACAGGTAAGTTCACTCGTCATTCTGTCTCAGAAAATGTAGCTGACCCAATGATAGCATCAACTGTATTGACTTCTCTGGTGACAATCAGCTTGTCGCGGCCGGCATGAACGAGTCTTACATACGGGTCTGGTCCATGGACGGCAGTCCACTCACCTCTCCAAACGATGCGCCAGACGCACAACCGTCGTCTTCAAGACGGCTCGTCGGCCACTCCGGTCCAGTCACTGCAGTGGCCTTCTCACCTTCCACAGCAAACCCGTACCCATCCGGACCACCAACAAATTCAGAATGCCTTCTTTCATGTTCAGAGGACAAAACAGTCCGACTTTGGTCGCTAGACACATATACATGTCTTGTAGCCTATCGCGGACACGACAATCCAGTCTGGGATCTGCAATGGGGACCTTATGGACACTACTTCCTTACTGGTTCAAATGATCGCACCGCACGCTTGTGGTCAACAGATCACATTGAACCTCTACGCATCTATGTTGGTCACGACAATGACGTTGACTGCGTTACTTTTCATCCCAATAACCTTTACATCTTCACTGGTTCTTGCGACCGCACAGTACGCATGTGGCACATCGCTGGTGGTAACTGTCTACGCCTCTTCACGGGCCACACGGGCAACGTGACCGCCATAGCATGTTCTCCCGACGGCAGGACGCTTGCCTCCGCCGACGATGCAGGTAACATCATTCTCTGGACTCTTGAGACTGGACGAAGGCGGAAGCGCATGCGAGGACACGGCAAGGGTGGTATTTGGTCGCTTTCCTGGAGTGTGGAATCGAGCGTTCTCGTCTCAGCCGGAGCGGACAAGACAGTCCGTGTCTGGGATGTGCTCCAAGAGACCAGTGACAAGGCTGCTGATGGCGTGGCTGCGAAGGCGGACGGTGCTATGACGACCAAGGGCGCGAGTGGAACCACAGTGACAGGAAAGAAAGCCAGCAAGGAGACCGGTGTCTCGGCAGACCAGATCAGTGTATTTCCGACCAAGGAAAGTCCCGTGTACAAGGTGCAGTTCACTAGAATGAACCTGGTACTTGCTGGTGGTGCGTATTTGCCGACACGTCAGTAGCGTCTGGCACCGAGCTAGGTTTTTGGGTGACCATACACGGATTGGCACATCCGGGCGTTTTGGGTCAAAAGCATCAAGATGACAAGCTACAGTATACCCGCATGTATGTAGAATCTCATTCTTCTAATTACATCTTCCATCTGATCCTTCTGGTCTTTGCATATGAGTTTGAACAGCACTTGGTCGTTTGGCAACAGTCCTACCCATCATCGGGGTGAAGGTCCGCTCATATGCAACAGTGCAGCTTCCCTATCCGCAATCGCGCTTGTAGTACGGGTTGCGATAGACCTGTCATGACGTAGCTGTAGTCTCATCCGCTTCGGTGGCTTCCGGTGTTGTTGCCCTTGCTGTCCGAATCAATTTGTCATGACCTGGGAGCACCTTCCCAATCTCACCCCCGAAGCTTCTCACGGCGGTCACCCATCCCTTGGCACTCGTGCCTCCCCGATAAAGCCCATCGCCCAGTGTTTATCATCTCTCTTCTGCACCCAGCTTCCTACACTCGTTTACCACACTCCTTTTCGCCCCTCCGTCAGCAACTGGCCTGCTCCTTTGGTCATCTTGCTCACCTCTGCCCATCTGGTGCACTCTTCAATCTCATCTCACCACAGCCGCCAGCTCGACGCTTGACATGAAGGTCACTCAGCTTGCCGCCCTCTTCGGGGGTACTGCTCTTGCAGTCCAGCCTCTTGCAGCTCCTCGTAAGTTAACTTCACGCAGTTCCTTCAGTATCATTGTTACCTCAATCGCTATCTGGCTGTTCAAACAACTCTGAAACGTCAACAGGTGTCGAGCGTGCCCTCACCGATACCCACTCCACGGTCATTATGGTTACGTCAACCCACCTGATCCAGGAGATCTGCACCGACATTGCGAGCTGCCCTCCCTATACCACCACTGCTGAGACATCTGTTGTCTATGTCACTGCAACAACCACGATCTGTCTACTTTCTTCGACGCCTCCTGGGTATGGGCCACCTCCAACTACGGCTGCTCCTTCATCAGTTGCTAGCTCCGCCTACCCCACCAGTTCCGCGGGCATCTCTGTCAGCCTCATCTCAGGGTCTCAAATCTTCCCAGGTGGCTCTGAATATCCCAGTGGCTCTGCTCCCCAGACGAGTGCTCTGCCAACAGGTATTTCCCCATCCAGCGCATATGCTACGCCTCCTAGCGTGAGTGTGGTGCTCCCATCAGGATCTCCAAGCACTGGAGTCACGATCGTCACAGATGTATTGCCTTCAACCGGAGCAAGCAGTGTCGTCGTGGTTCCTTCATCTACCAACACCAACGCCATTAGCAATTCATATCCCGCTTCATCAGCTGGGCCTAGTTCCATTGGCTCTTCAAATGGATATGTCGCACCTCCGGGCAGCTCCCTGGTCTCATCACCCACTAACCCAGGTCCCGTGAACCCTGGTAGCTCAGCGGTCTCCAGCATGTCATACACAGGCTCTACTTTCCCAGCTAGCTCAGCAGCTCCACCTGTCAGCAACACGGATGCAATTCCTACGTCCATAGGTACCCCCTCGTCAGGGCCAAGCTCTGGTAACCCAGCCACTCCTTCAACACCAGGCTACGTACCGTCCGGCTCATCCGTGCCACCGAGCAGCAATACGGATTATGTGCCCACGTCTCCGGGAGCCGCCTCCACCGGCTCAATGTCGAGTGGCTATGTCGTGCCGCCAGCTAGCTCAGCTGGGTTAGCAAGCTCTATCACAGATGCCGTACCGACTTCCATCACAGTCTCATCGCCCGCAAGTCCATACCCAAGTGGACCAACAGTGTCATCGAGCTACTCGGCTGCCCCATCTCGCCCTGCTGGACCGTCTTCCAGTGGATACCTCGTGCCATCAGGTAGTTCAACTGCACTGACAAAGTCCAACACGGATGCTGTACCTACTTCTCTTACAGCTTCTTACCCAAGTGCCAGCTCTGCTATACCCTCTGGAAGCCCTTCAGCCGGACCTTCATCGAGCAACTACTTTGCCCCACCTGGAAGCTCTATCGAAGCTGCTCCGACATACACAGGCGGAGATTCTACATCTTCTACCGCCACAGGATCCTCGGGTACCGCCTCTGGCACGAACTCAGCGTCATTGTCTACTACTCCTGGTTACCCAAGCCCCTCGCCCACAACAGGTCCTGTATCCACGGTCATCGATAGCACTATTAGGATTACGAGCTATCAGACACAGACTCTCATTTCGTACATCACGGCAGGGCCTTCAGACGTGCCTGGCAATGACACCAACACCAACACCAATACGCAAGCTATCCCGACCAGCGTCCCTTCAGGTGTCTCTGGTGGTCCCTCTGGATCTGGGTACGTCTTAATGATTCTTGATACTTTCTATATTCACTGACCAGTCTTTGCAGTTATCCCTACCCATCTGGCGGCATCAACGGCACGATTGTTGTCCCCTACCCCAGCTACATCGAAGTGCCCATCAACACCGGCCATGTCGTCGGTGCCGGAAAGAGTTCCCTCGCGGCTATTGTCGTTGCTCTCGTCTTCGCTCACTTTGCATAAGCCAAAGCGTGGCTCTCTCATCGGTCTCTTTCTGTCGTGAAGGAGATGCGCTGTTGTTGAAGGAGGTCGACATGGTGAGACATTCTTGCATCGCGTATAGCGTTTAGCATGGAGCGTTCCAACTCTGTCCACATGCCTACAATGTGGGCCTGACGAGGTCAAGGGAAGTGGTATGATCTTTTTAGGGAGTGTTCTTTAAGCCAGACAGGGTTTTCCTCACATGTACTACCAGTTACACGGCCGCAACAGATCAGCATGCATGTAATATACAACACTTTTTACTTCGGCCATTAACAAAGATCTTCGTTGCACTGTGATGTCTTCTCAGAATTTGTCATGATTGAAACAAGCCAGAAAGCCGCAGTGGCTAGAGTGTACGCCAAGGTTGAGAGACCTGTTACATGGCTATGTTGATGGTCGGTTTCCGTCACCGTACACCGAAGGCCTTCAGGGTATCATCCGGGCTCTCATTCTCGTCCCCGGGTATGCTCTCATTCCACGCGTCTTCAGATATGCGCCCGGCTTCAGGTAGCAGACTGAAGTGCGGACTTGGCTCGGCCTTCAACCACTTGAAGTCGTCGATTTGATCCCACTGATTTGGCGATTGTTCGATCTCCGGTGTCGTCTATACGGTCGTTAGCGAAGTTTACACAGCAAAGACTGCAAGTACCAGGAGAAGACTAACATATACACTAGGCAACGGCGCAAACCTCAGGCCCTCACAGTCCTCAAAGATCGGCCGACTCGTACTATGTAGATATACATCCACGTTCTTGCTCCCATGCATGCGAAACTGCCGACACGCCGTCACTATGATGCTGTTGGAGACATCGGTGATGTGTATTGCGCCTGCGACTTGGCCGGTTATTATGAGCGACGAGCTTATGGAGCGGAGGTAGAGGGCAGCGAAGGGCGCGTTTGCTTTCGTTGGGGCGCTGAGATCGACGATGCAGTGGGTGAGGTGGGACACTGTCGGTGAACTTGTTTCGTGGGGAGATGAAGGGAGGGTTATACGGGCGTGGGATTTCCAGGAGAGCGCTGACGGAGAAGAGTCGTGTTGCGTTGTGTCGTGCTGCTGTTGTTGCTGTGATGGCGGTGTTTGTTCCGATGTGGAGGACGGTTTCGCGCTCGATGTATCAGGTGCAGTGTCTGGTTTCGCGATATCCTTGCTTCTGTTCTTGAAACTGAATTTCTTGGGTGGATCGAAGCTGTTCCTCACTTCTGACAGCTTCTCGCTCAAACGCTTGATCGTCTACACTTTCTTGTCAGCCTCCTATCCCCTATTAAAGCTGCATTTCTTTTGGCATATGACGCACCTCGCTGTACGTCCGTTGATCGTAAGCCGGAAGATAGCTCGAGGCGTCCTGGACATCGAGGGCTACTCGGTTTATGCCGGCCAGGCAGTTGTCTATTGCTTCATTGCGCTCGCCGCCGGATGTTGATACGGAAGAGAGGTTTTCGATTTGCGCGCGAAGTGCTGAGTGTGTTAGTCAAGGCGCATGCTGTGGTGGATATGTGGGAGACGGACTTGCGACATCTTGGTTGAACTGGCGGTAGAAGGTCTCTTTGAGGTTGGGCTCGGCCATTGCGCGTCGGGTGTTGTCGCGACGTTAAGGTAGTTGAGGTGTGAGGTTTAATATTCGCCAGCCCTATTATTGTCTTTCGGCATGCGTTGAGCCTCGAAGTTCTTCGGTGGGATGTTCACGCGTCGGTGGGTTGGTTAGTGGGGTTGAAAGAGACGCGCATGGTGCGCGCGAAAAACCGCAACATGGTGAAGACCAATGAAGTACAGAAACTACGAGCTTAGGTGACAGTCTGGCAATGCAACAGGTCGATAATGCAGAGGTTTTTGTGTCACCGATTCCAATTACTAGTAGAACCAGATTGAGGGTCGAAAGACGCGACATCATCGAACTGGTGGGATGCACGCTACCCCGCATTTCACCAATAGCGTCTCGTGCATTGTCAGATGTATGGATCTTTGAAGCATGGCTATCATCCGAAATACATTTCTTGAACTGGAGGAATCCAAACATCACTATAAGCTCTCCGCACATCGCACACGAACCCTGTCCAATGCACAATACCAGTCGGCCTGCAGCATAAGCGATGAGATGGATTTTATCCTTACGCGCAACTATGGTAGAGTCCTTCCTTAGCTCAGCACTTTGACAAGTTAGTTATCTGATAGTAGAGACGAATGTTCGATGTCGTTGAAGCAGACTAAGATGAGAGGGCTGACGCCATGCATTGATCTTGGGGGCGAAGAAGAGTCTTGATAAAGTCTTCGATTGTTTGAGGTATATACACGAGCCAGATGTGGCCCAGGTTTGTGTGGTGTTTGCGTTGTGACTCCAAGGAAATGTGTAATGCTTCTAAGCGGCTTCTTGCGCTGCCTTGACGTCGACGCCGTACTTCTCCAACAGTCGTTGCCGCCTCCTCTCTTCGTATCCGGGTCCGTAAATTCCTGGTGAAGTCAGCTTCAGCAAGAGTGTGTTGGCCCTTATTGGACATACCTCGTCCCTCGCCCAATTGCTGCAGAGTCTCGGACATTGGCCGCCTGCGCACCTTCTTCAGCTCTTCCCTGCGCTCAACCTCGCCATCGTCATCGACCTGGTCGCGAATGTCTCCAATACCGCGCATTCCAGCAGTGTAACGGTAGGCAGTGAGGACCGTGGAGAAGCATACTCCGGCACCGAGCATGAATGGAAGGCTTCGCCCTGTGAACTGTTAGTACCGGCGTATGTATCGGTCCTGAGCATGCGTACTGGCAACACCGACACCGCATCCAGCCACGAAACCGGCAACTGCCTCACTGTAGCAGTCATCCTTTTGTCGCAGGTTACTGGTCGCGTCCAGTGTGAATTGATAGGCGGCTCCCACACCGGCTGCACGTCAATTAGCTTCGTTCGAATGTATTTTCCTGCAATTGACCTGCTACGGACCGTATAGCGCGATTATGCCTCCCGACCGGGTGAGGATGCCCATGGCTCCGACATTCTGTTTCCTGAGTGTGTTCTGGACACCGGCAATGATGGCGCCGGCAGCCGTGGTCTGCAGGGTCGTGTTCGCAGTATTGGAGAGAGCGTCCCGCGGGTGGTAGGTGACGTATTGGTCGGCCATGGCGGGCGAATTGGGCGTGGGTGTCGTCTTGGGAGCTCTATCGACGTTGTTGAAGTCGGCAGCGGGAAGATGCGCCAGACCATAAGCGTCTTGGCGCTCAGGGCTCAAGCGGCGGCGGGCGGGCACTGGCTGCATCATCGCGCGCCGCGTCGTCGAGCTGTCGCAGTGAATGCCGCGAGCCCGTGTGCCTCGCCGCTTGTACTGTTGCGGTCTTGTGTTTTCTTGTGCGTAGCTGCATGCGTCAGGGCTCTTCACGTGGGCTAGCAGTCTTGTTCTTCCTGAATCTAGCACTGTAGTGCTTCTACTAGGCGGTCGCCGCCCACGATGCTCTGTCTGTAAACGCTTCAATCACACAGTAGCAACTTCTCCCGTCTTCGCCCTTCTCCACCCATCTCGCCGTGCATGTTGTGCTGCCAGTAAACCCACCATTCTGTCATCCATAGTATACGCCACACTATTGCTCCCCACCGAACACAACAGCTATGGCGCCTGGTACTTTGTCCACCCTCGTCCCACCAGCGTGTGCTAACCACGACTCACAGGCAAGACGGCGCCGCGGCTACTCCAGGACCTCTTCACATACGATCCGCGACACGAAGAACGGGCCGGTCGGAACTTGTTGACGAGTGCCCCGCCGCAACACGACAGCAAAGCCCCAGCAGTCGCCGCCGTACCCTTCAGGAACTGCCGCCACATTTTCTTCACCAAGCCTGAGCAGTCGCTGTTGCCGGTTGCAGGCGAAGACGCAACCCCGAATACCACATACAAGGTCGCCTCATACTGCAACAAGTGTCGCTGGCATGTCGATGTGCGTGTCGACCACCGCACCGATGCCACCAAGATCAAGTCGTGTGGGAAGGGCAACGAGGACTATGCCTTGCACCACTTCCTCTACGAAGGAGAAGACAACTCGAGTGGCACCGGTGGAATCGAGGCTCAGCTGCGCCCGCGCACCTACACTTTCCGCTGCACTGCGCCCGAGTGCTCAGTCAGGGTACGCATTAGCATGAAGCCGCCATGCTTCTCGGAGCAGGACATTGTCACTTTGACCGACCAGGCCCAGCTCAGGAGACGATGGGAAGCAGCGAAACAGATCGCCGGCGACCGGGCAGACGCAAACATGGCGCGGAAGGTCGATGCTCCCGATTACCTGAACACATACCTACAAGATTCGTTGAAGCCCGCGAAGGGCAAGGCGCGCATCCCATTGTTGAACAAGAAGTTTCTCAAGACCTTCGGTAGGGACTGCGACTCGATATTACGGCGCCTGGGCTTCGAGAACCGCCAGGAAGAGGAAGAGGATGCCATCGTAGAAGTCTGGTATCTCCCTAGGCCCGACGAAGCGGCATCTCCTCTCGAATCGACGCTGCGCAACAAGATCGAGGACGCTCGGTACGAGCTGAATACATTAATACTTAGCATGCCGGAGAATGAACGAGTGGGCTGCAGACACCAGCCCATGTATCCCACACCGTCCCGAGTCGATATGGAGAGAGCGTTAGCATGCGCGGATTGTATGTCCATATACGCCCCGCTTGTTACACAATGTGGCCACTGACAAGCTGCACAGACGCTAAGGCGAAGGGACGGGAGACACGCAGTACAAACCACGAAGAAGATCACCCGTATGTGCCCCGCTTTCACCTTCACCGACGTTCCTGCTTACTGACGACATGTAGTTACTACGCTAGTCTGGGCGCCGTTGGTGACTTCGACGACGCTTTAATCCTGTTCGCCTTCTCTCGACAAGGCGCTGTCGATATCGAGAACAAGGCCTACTACTTCGAATGCTTGCAGGATCTCGCTGCCGGTCGCCAAAGTGAGATGCTTCAGATGCAGGTTGCTTTGTTGGCCTCACAGGGTCTCACTAGCAAACGCGATACCGAGCGAGCCTACCAGTACTTTGGGATTGATCCAACCCACGCAAACGTGATAGGCGACGATCATATCATAGGATGCTTCCGGTCGCGGCTAGCCGATGTCAGCGTTATACAGGCTGAGGAGGCACGAAAGCAGCTGCGAGTTCTCGGAGACGTGCGTGACAGCGACAGAATACGGTCAGAGGCTTCTGGTTCTATCGAGACGTACGAGCAGGCAATGGCGTTCTTCGATCTTGAGCTTGGTGTAGCCGACGATTTCATCCCGACCATGTATTCGCTAAAGGTACCGTGCACGTCGGGTCCCGACATGACTTGTTTGTTGTTCTGACGATTGCTAACACTCAAATAGACTCAGGACAGCCCCGCAAGCATAGAAACCGCAAGGAAAGCCCTGGATATCATAGCAGATGCGCGCAACAGCGAACGACTGCGACAGTTCGCCAAGTTCGGGGCAATGAGCGAGCCTGAAATGGACCTCGGTGAAGCCTACGCCCTTTTCCAGCAACCAGACAGGACCGTCAAGCTCGAACTTGCAGTTTTGGGCTCTCTAGTCAGCACCTACGATGTTGGCTCCAGCGAACGAGCGCGCATGGAGACAGCGTATAAACTTATCGAGAACGACCAGTCACAGAGGTTTGGCGACAACCACGTCAACCCCTCCCCAGCCAGAAGGAACAAATACCCCCTCGATTCATGGCCGGTTGGGCTCCGCAATATCGGTAATACCTGCTATCTCAACAGCGTTCTCCAATTCCTGTTCACCATCAAGCCCTTGAGAGATCTCATTCTTAATTGCGAGAAATACCTACAAGATCTCTCTCCAGAAAGCTTGAAAAACAAGAAAGTTGGGCGCATGTGGGTCACAGCCGAAAGGGTTTTGACGGCACAGAAGTGTCAGTATGTCTTTCGTTACTTCAGATCGATGCTAACCTCGCGTAGTCGTCCGGGAGTTGCGGACTTTGTTTGAGCGCATGATCACCGCATCCACAGACACGGTACAGCCTGCCATAGACCTCGCTTCACTCGCACTATGCAAATCAGACAATCCCGCGGATCCAGTGGAGTCACCACCAGTAAACACTACCGACGGCGCAGGCTTGGGCACGATTGATGGAGCTGCAGTTAGTGGACCGATGCTTCCACCTGCTGTGATGCAGTCCGCTCCTGCAGAAGCTCTAGCCGGCTCAGCCGTGACTGGCGACAACACAAATCCTACAGACTCGGTCATGGAGAATGCTGATGCGGCGCCGATTACACCTGCTGATTCTGTCATGAACGACGACGTTGCAGCAGGCAAGAGCGAGGGCGATGTGCCTGCCCCACCAACACGGCCTCCGCCAATCCCACCACGGGCAGACCCTAAACCGGCCATCAAGCCTGCTGTCCAATCGATTTCGAGAATTGGTAGGATTGAGGAGAGCGCTCGACAACAGGATGCAGCCGAAGTCATGTCGAACATATTTGATCTCATTTCCTGTGCCATAACAGGTGACAGCATTCTGCGCGAAGGTGAGCAAGGAGACGCCATCAAGAACCTGTTCTTCGGCGACGTCACCACAGTAATGGAAAAGTCAGACGGCGTGCAGAAGGTTCAAGAGCTTCGAGACCATTTTCTTGTCGCCACTGGACAACGAGACCGCTCACTCTATGCCACCCTGGACGAAGACTTCGGTTTGGGTGAGATAGCGGATGGTGGCGGTATGCGATACGATTACGTTGAAAAGGCTGCGCCCATCCAGATCATAAACGTGAAGCGGCTACAGTTCAAGGAGGGCAAGCCTGTGTACGACCACTCGCACATTGGCCTGGAGAAAACGATGTATATGGATCGTTACTTGGCGAGAACACCGACACTAAGCGAAGCGCAGCTGCTAGATCTTCGCAAAGCGCAATGGGCAAAACAGAAAGAGTTGCGAGAGCTAGATGCTAAGAGGACAAAGCTACAGACAACAGGTATTGAGGGCTTGAACCTCCCTGAATGTCTAGAGGCAACGAGCGACTTTGTCAACAGTCTGGCCACGGAGAAGTCAGAGCATGAACAACCGAGTTCGTCCCAGGACTTCCTCCCGACTCCGCCTCCTGAACTCTCTGATACGCTCCACACCCGTGCCGCCGATCTCGCTGCCGATCTTTCAGGCATCGACGACCAGATAACATTGCTGGAATCCAAAATCGACACAGTCTTCGAGGACTGCCACTCCGTGCCCTACCGTCTCCATGCTGTCTTTACCCACCGCGGTGACGTCAGAAGTGGTCATTACTGGATTTACATCTACGACTTCCACAAGGATGAGTGGAGAGTCTACAACGACGAGAATGTAGATCAAGTTGAGCAGGAGAGCGTAGTGCTCGACAAGGAGGAGGTACACCGCCCGAAGGTCAGCACAGGTGTCGTGTACATAAGAGCCGATCTTGTGGACGACTATACCGAGGCCGTGTGCCGCCAGCCTGAGAAGACCGAGGAGGATACCCAGAAGGATATTGAGATGAAGGATGTTACTTTCGACGACGATTCTAACGATGAGATGCCCGCGTTGGAGCCGGTAGACTTGAAGGATGTGCCGGTCATCGACGGAGTGGAGAAGGAGTAAGCTCTCTTCTATTCTGAGCCCCTGCTCCTATCTTCCTCTTTCCAAGTTACCGGTTGCTGATTAGACTCTTCTATTAGCATTACTCCTCCGGCAAAGAGAAAGGGGGTTCGATTGGAGTCTCCGCCCAAGAGGGGCAAAAACTATGACGGCTTTGGACAGACCGATCAACCGGATGTGGGCCCGCGATGTGCGAGCCGACTTGAGCTACGTTGAGCGTATGCTGTGATACCGATGAGTCGTGCTGACAAGCATCTTGGTATCGGTAATGGGGCATGAATAGAATACGGGTAATGCATAACGATGAGTTCGAACTCATATGGGGAATTCTCGTGATATCATACATCTATGTGATACATCCGTCGTCTTACTTGAATTGTGAAGCTCACACAGCCTGTCTCTTCCTCCCACCGCCCCTACGCCAATTCCACAGCGCCTCCTGAGCAAACGTGCGTGCAGTCAGATGACCCCTCTCCTTATTCGCCTCTTCCGTCAACGTCTCAATCACCCGCCCTTCTTCAACGCACTGCCACAGTCCGCCTGCAATGGCACTGCCAACATCCTCTTCCACCCACTCCTCTCCATCCTCGTCTTCCTCCACCTCTGGGTTCTTGGCTACCTTAGCCGGCCCATCAGTCGTTTGCCCCGTGCTCTCAACCCCGAATTCTCCTCTCCCTAATCTGTATAGGATACGACCCAGGGTTTGGTATGCGATGCACCGTTGACTCGCGACTTTACTCCGCGCCGTAACTGCAAGTTCGGGAATTGTGTAGCCTGCTGCCTCAGGGGCTTCGGCATGGTGGTGGAGACCCCGGTCGGTCGGCATCGATCGTGCGACGCTGGGTGCTAGCAAGTTGCCCGAGAAGTCGAAGCGGAGTTCGGCGGGGTTGAGAGCGGTTTGCGAGGGGTGGTAGGGCGACTTTGTGTCTGATGGGTCGATGGGCGACATCCATGATAGGGAGGAGGGGTCGTAGGGTAGCGTAGGAAAGTATTTCTCGTGTAGATTCTTCAGGAATGAGGGGTCGTTTGGGTCGAGATCGGGTGGTTGTGGGGGTTGTGGGAAATGTATTGAGTCGTTCGTATCGGGCATGGCTGTCGATGTGATGTTTTCGTCTAACGAAGGTTGCGCGGTGGGTATTGAGGTCGAGGCTGGCTGTGACGGCGCTTCGTTTTCTGGTTCTGGTGCCGCGAAGGAGACTTTCTTCGTGCTGGGTGTCTTTGGCTGAGGTTCTGGCTTGGCTTCGTCAGTCGCCGGGGTAGCAGTGGCTGCTGGTGCTGGCGGCTCTGTATCAAAGTCTTGCTCATTGCTCCCTTGGTCAATATTGGACCGCATAAGCAGCTTCTGCAGCAATGCTGGGTTGAGACTTGACATGAGCTCTTGTCGCTCTTGCTCAATCTCCGCATCTGACATGGCTGCCAACGTCTGCCTGTTCTCCTCATCTATTGTCCTTCTCTCCTCGTCCCTGTCCACACCGAATGCGCTCCGCGGCTTAGGCGCATCCTGCGTCGTTGCCGGCGCTTTCGGTGGCGCGGCAGCTTGTTGTTCCTTTGCGGCGCGTTGCTGTTTAAAGGCCGATACTCTCGGTACGCGTTTCTTGTGCGCCGGGAAACCATTCACATTTGGTTTGAACGAGGGCGCGACTGGAGGATTAGCTGGTGATGATTCGCGCTCTTGGATGTCGCCCACGAACGTGGGGAATGATGGCATGGGGAGCTCATGCTGTTCTTCCTGATCCAGCTTCTCGACTGCGCCGGTATCGAAGTTCAAGTTTACGCGCTCTCCTCTTTGGAACTCCATGTCGGCGGTATTGTGGTGGTGTTGAGGCGGCGCAAATGTTCCTTCTCGAAACTTTGGACTGCCGCTGGACCCTTGTTCGCGGGGCGGCTGCTAGCGCGTTCTGATGGCCTTGCCTCGGGGCTTCTTCGATGTTCACGCGCGGGACTGAGCCTCCTACCCCGCCACACTTCAAGCAGCAATGCCACGCATACATGCAGCAGATAGCATGAGAATAGCTATGGGCTTTTGACATAAGAAGGGCACGTCTCCCTATTCTAGACGTCATAGATATTGCGCCGCCTCTGCCGAAACGCTAACATCATGAACGCCATTGCCTCTGCACGAAATACCGATCTTCCAAGGGAATCGAGAGTTCCGACTCTCTGTATGCAATGCAAAAACTTGGCACCTCGTCTTACTGTTCCAGTTGGTGTCTGCAACGAGAGGCTAGTGGTCAGGAACGGTTCCAAGTGCCCGCTGTGTCTATTCTTTGCTGCTATAATACACGGAAAGTGTTCGTCATCTACCGTTAGGACATCAGCCCGTTTTCGGCTCTTGGACTATCAAGGACCTTCAACAGTTGGAGGACCTCGCGATTTCTCGTTCCGGAACTACTACGTCCAATCAGAGGATTCCACTGTCTCCCGCTTCATTCTCCCAGAGTCCGGACATGAGAACCTGCGATTCCGTACACTACCGAAGAACCTCATTGACTATCCTTTGCTAAGAAAGTGGATTACGCACTGCAAGACCTACCATGGAGATGCATGTTCGCATCAAGGCAAGACTTCTCAGCTGTGGGCTTCCGGAAGAACTGCACTCAAAGTCATCGACTGCAGGTCATCCAAGATAACCGTGGCATCTCCAGGTGCGGAGTATGTTGCACTTAGCTACGTTTGGGGTAAACCTTCAGCTTCCAACAAACACGACAGTGTCCTTAGCTGTGGCAGTGCTACGGAGAGCCTGTTGAACCTGCCAGAAACGATCAAGGATGCAATGAAGGTCACCCTTAAGCTTGGCTACCGATATCTGTGGTGCGATAAGTGCGTAGGATTCACGTCAGAAAAACATGTTGGACATATGCTGACTATGATCGCCAAGATATTGTTTCGACCAACAATCTGATCCGCATCAACTACAAACCCAGCTGTCTATGATGGCTATGATCTATTCTGCGGCAGCAGTGACTATTGTTGCTGCAGCTGGTGATCACTCTGATCATGGACTACCCGGTGTTGGTGGTCGAAGTCGAACTACGCCTCCTTCCATTCAATTGAATGGCGCGACATGGGTAGCAGGGTTAGACGACTTCAAAACACCCATTCGCGAATCACCTTGGTCCCAAAGAGCTTGGTGAGTTACCTTATCTATACGTGTTCATCAGTACTGACCATGAACTCGTACCGTGCAGGACGTATCAAGAGGAGTTTTACTCACGCCTGCAGCTCATCTTCACTGAGGAGCAGGTTATCTTTGAGTGCAACACAATGAGCTGTTTCGAATCAGTCACCACGGAGAAGTCATCTGGCTCAACAGGGTTTTTCATCGGGCGGAGCAGTGCCTATATACGAAGCACTTGGGACGATCCTTTCCGCGAGCATATCGTGCGCTATACGAAACGAGCATTGAGCTATCAATCGGATGTTCTAAACGCAATGCGTGGTCTCTTCCGGTCGTTCTCCACGCAAGACAACCCGTGTTATCAGTATTGGGGCATACCATACACCATGACTGCCTGTACCGAGATCCAATCCAGATCTAGGATGTGGTCCCATCTTTGGGCTTATGGTGTTCAGTTGGATGATGTGAAACATCAGCTCAATGCTGCGTTTTGCCGGGAACTATGCTGGGTCGTCAATCCGGAAACATCCACGAAGATTATCCGGCGAGAAGGCTTTCCTAGCTGGTCCTGGGCGGGCTGGATTGCTCCTGTTCTGTGGCCATGCACATCTCCGTTGACCTGGGACAATATTCTGCCAGTGGAACTCCATGTCATCAAGTTCGATGGGACAGATGAACCTCTGACGGAAGAATTGGTGAAGACGGCTTTCGAGAATGACGGTAATCTGGCGCTCGATTACACTTATCAGTTGCGCATAGTTGCTGATGTTCTCTACCTTCGGTTCGCATACATCCCAACGAAACGGCGTCGGCATTCACACATTTTTGATCGTCCAACCAGCACATACAAAGACGCAATGTACGCAGCACGCGGTACTATCGAGATGATCTCCGGCTCTGGCGAGCGCAGTTTCGAGGATCATGAATGGCTATTGGATGTCACGAGTGATGTCGACGAGGAATTGCATTACTCGCTCTGCAACCACCTATTCGAGGGTGTAGTCATATGCAAAGACTACGTCCTGGTTACGCGTACTAGAGATGGGATGAAAGAGCGCATAGGGGTCATGTCTGTCCGCAGCGTAGATTCCGGCGAAAGAACTGAGCTACATCCTCGCCTGTGCTTTCCCGGTAGTCGCCGAGATATCATTCTGGGATGATGAGCTTATCGAGAAGAATGCTCAGCTGAAAAGATTCCCAATCACATATGTGTGTTCTTCCTTTTCATCAACGCCACTATCTAGTGTGACGCATACTTTGGGTGTAGCTGAAAGCGCCACCCTTCTCCCAAGAAGAAGATCTACATATTCTTTAGGCGCGCTGCATGCCGAGTATGCAACATTCAAAGACGAAGCACACTACCCAACCAACATATGTTCTTAGGGTTTCAAGGCCGCAAACTTACCCCACATGCCCCACATGTGGCTACTAAGACTAGTAAGCTATAATGACATATAAGTAGTTGTGAATGCCGGAGAGGTTGCACAAGAAACGCAAGCTCTGGACGAGGGTATCTGTGACAGCACAGTCATGGCGTCTTCTAACGAAAACTATCCACAGGGACCATACGAGGTCGGCAAGCACATCGTTCCTCCTCCACGGCCGAGCTCACCATCAACTGCCGAGTACCGCCTTAATCATCTCATGACCCGTATCAAAGACCCGGAGAAGAGTTTGAAGTTCTACTGTGACTGCCTGGGCATGCACGTTGTCTTCATCTTCAATGCTGGTCCATTTACCATTTACTACCTAGGACCACGAGATAGTGGTAGGTACACACATTTACCCATAACTCCGACAGAATACTAAAATGTTTACAGGTATGTCCACCCTCGGTACCTCAAAGGGGTTACTAGAGCTGTACCACATCCCCGCAGACGCGTCTACGTCGTATACTTCTGGCAATGACTACTCTAATCCGGCGGGAATCGGCTTCGGTCACATTGGATTCACAGTACCAGATGTCCCTGAAGCACTGGAAAGGATCAAAAGCTTTGGCTACGAGGTCATCAAGCCGCTGGATGAGGCGAAAGAAGAGCAGATGGGTTTGCCTGCGGAGGCTGTAGAAGGGAAACACGGGACAGTACCAGACGGCTACAAGCACGTTTTCAAACAGCTCATTTTCGTGAAGGATCCGGATGTAAGTGGACGCCAACCAGTGTAAAGAAATGTATGAGAGAAATGGTATGCTAACAGCTATTAGGGTTACTGGGTTGAGATCGTACCTCAGGTAGTCAAACCACTGAGTGGTTAGTGAGAGGATCCAAAAGTTTGTCAAGCTAGATCTCGCAAAGAAAACGCTATCCAACTCCAACTTTGATAACTGTTCTCGTCTTCCTCTTTCTCTCACGAAATAGCTCTCTACTTAGCTTAACGACCTTGCTGCCTTTCTACGAACACCATGTCAACGGAATCACAGAGAGCTTCAGACACATCTTCAGACACATCTTCACCCATAACTTCAGACACACCCGTCAAAGTACTAAGACTAGGTGTCGACGGGTCTAAGTCCTAACAGCCATTCGATTTATACCACTACTGACAGCATCCCAGATTCATTTCCTCGCCTCTCATCAAAGTTCTCGTTGGGCCTGAGTCTCAGCGTTCAGAACTGTTTGTTCACCAGTCCATCATAACGTCGCGATCCAAGTTCTTCGCCAACGCGCTTAGTGGCAGATGGAACAACTCTGACGCGAAGACTATCAATCTTTACGATCTAAACCCTGAGCTGAGATCAGAAGATGTTGAGCACTATTTGGAAGCCGTCTATACGAATCGCATCACGCTCAAGGATGACTCGAGCGTTCTTGAACGTATATGTCACGTATACGTGATAGCTGAATTGCTGCTCGATCTACACACTCGTAATCTGGCAACTCAGGCACTGTATGAGCAGATCTCCTTCCGTGAATCTTATGGGTACGTTGTTCACACAAACCCTGGCCCAGAGTGTATAAAGATTATCTACGAAGGTACAGTAGCTGGGGATCTAATGAGGGAGCTACTTGTTCATAGTTGGTGCGGTCTCGGACGCCATGGTTTACTTCAGTGCGATGATTTGCCCAAACGGTTCTTGAGTGAGCTAGCGACGGCTGCGTTGAAGGAGGAACACGGACCGTTGTTGTATCATTTGGACACATACCTCGAAGATAATTCATAAGCGCTTAGGGTGGTGATCGACCCCTCTCGGTCTTTGAGGGCCATGGAGGGACGGATGTCGTCATAGATGTTAGAAGGAATGTGAAAAAGCAACACCTCAACCAAAGTTCTCGACTGGCAGACAGTGTATGATCTTCACAATCATGCTGCAGGCGTGTTCAAGGCCCCGAGCAGAATGTCGGTATACCAACCATATCGACTTGAGATGAGACGATAAGCGTCAAACCAGCGGTACTGGGCGGAACGTGAAGAGACGCTAAGTCAGGTACCCGCCGCCGCTAGCTACCAGTGCGACTAAAGGGACCCTGCATCATCCCGCAACCTCTTAGATCAATACAGTTGAGTATGAGAACGATATCAATGCTCGAAAATAATATATTTTTCGTAGTTGCTACGGCCAGAACACATACACGACTCGCGAGACATAGCGTCAGTGTGCATCTGACACCCAGGATCCGGTTTTCCGTAAGCGAAAACGATCATTGCAAGGGTGCCAACCGGAGTTTCAGATCTGGGGAGTCGAGGTCGCTCCCTGGAGCATGTCTCCCTAACGGCCTCGCCCTACATGCTGTACGTTTCGTGAGATCCTTACGATCGCTCGTTAACCTCTGTAGTCCAAACACTGACTGGCGTTAGTGGACCGTCCCCGCGAACGTTAGTCGCGCGTGCGATGCGAGTGAGTCGTCTTGGGGGAAAGGGGGTGGTAGTGGTTGCGGCGCAATATGACGTCCCCCAAGACAAAATTCCAGGCTTGTAAAAGCCAATCCTCAGCCGCCAGACTGCATTGGGCCACGGCCGTTTCCAAGTCATAAAGACATGTTTATCGGGAATTGCCCTGGGGTTTGCGTTCCCCATCCTCAATTCCGTGGTCGCTATGGATTTACAGAGGTTGAAGACGCGTATCGCGCGCGCCAGAGGCGCCAGCGCGACTTCTTCGGGCTCCGACACGGGCGAGCTGCATGCTCCACAGCAGTCTCAGGCACCCCACGATAACTCCAGCACGCATGCCGTCAACGAAGGAATTCAGAGCGCCGAGCCTGGGACGAATGCGCAGGACTTTGGAGCAGCCGCGGATCAGCCAACACAACAACCTGTCATCGAGCCGCCTACCTCGTTAGAGTCATCCATCGATGCTGGCCAACATGTCCCCAAGCCCACCAGGGCAACCGATCCCTCGTCGCATGTCACGTACAGGTATGCTCTAGGCACGAGAAAGAGGAGAGTGCGATGCTGACCTTTGTCAAGTACTCTTGCCGCGCAACGAGCAAGAAGCAGCTCCGCGCCGACCAAACCCCAGCAATACCCACGACGACCGCAAGTCGGCCGTCAAGCCAGTATCGGCATACGGCGCATGCCCTCATCCAACGCCCTAAGACAATCCGCACAGCAACCACAGGGTTCTATAATAAGGGCGAGCACGCCCTTGCCTGCGCTGGACGAGGAGGCAGAGCTGGGACAATTTTCCTCCGCCAACGGGAGCCAGAGTACCCTCAACAATCCAGAGCCGGACAGAAGCCGACTACGGAAGGTCAAGAGCGCGATACAGACTAGAATACCCTTTTGGGGCACGAAGGAAGAGGAGAAGTCGCCGGCGACAAGCGCTCATGCTCCTGTTCCTGCAGCGGAAGACGGCATGTCGTCCAACTACACCTCAGGCATGGTCGATGTCCTCGACACCATCGACCCCGAAGTCGCGACACTTACTTCCTTGACGAATATGCAAAACTCGCTCTTCATTCCGAACCTACCATGGCTGAACCGCCGGCCCACTTACAACCTAAAGCGACGGAAGAGCGAGACCGACAGTCTGGAAGAGATCAACCGCATACTGGAACCCGCTCGCGCTGCTCAGGCGGAGGCGGAGGCAGAAGCTCAGGCGGCCCAGGCGGCTCCCAGATTCCAGCGCTCGGCGACTGAGACCACGACGGCCACCATGATGACGATAGATTCGCAGCTTACTGAGTCGCGCTTCGCTGTTCTTCCTGAGGATACTGACTTGTCTGGTTGGAGCGTCGAGGACAAAAAGGAGGTGAACGACCACGTACGGCACATGCTCCACTCAAGACGCTCCAAGATGAAGCGCTCGCTCAAGGGATTCGGCATGTATGTTAGGAGACGTAAGTATCTGTACCACTATATTCTCAACTGTTACTGACAATCCACAGCACTTGGCTTCCTAGTCACCCTCTACGCCTTCCTCATCACCGCATTCGGCTTGGCCTGGGTGCTCTTCCTCATCGGCTGGGCTAATGTCGGTGGACAGCAGATCTACGTCGTCCACGTCATCGACAGTGTTCTCGTTGCTCTCTTCGCTGTTGTAGGAGACGGTCTAGCACCCTTCCGCTGTGTCGACACATACCACATGATCTACATTGCTCACTACCACCATTTTACATGGTCTCGTCGTAAGAAGGACATGCTTCCCGACCTCACCGATCATAATGACCTCCCTGCCGAACACGCTCCCGTATCTGGACCACGCGCTATAGACCCAGCCGACCCCGAGAAACAGTGGGAATTCACCGTGTTGACGCCAAAGCAGCAAGAGAAGCTCGAACACCACCAAGCCAAATTCTGCAAATCGCACTCCTTTTACAAGCCCCACGAGACGGAGACCCATTATGCCTTCCCTCTCCGTTTCCTTGTCGCCATCGTCGTACTTCTAGACTGCCACTCTCTACTCCAGATATCCCTCGGCGCGTGCACATGGGGTATCTACTACAAGGTTCGTCCCTTTGCTATCACCACTGTTATCCTCTGCTGCTCTATCGCCTGCAATGCAACGGCCGGTCTATTGATCTGGTTGGGTGACAAGAGGACGAGGAAGAAGGACGTAGTAGAACGCATGAACAGGCAAGAATTGACCGGAGAAGCCATCAAGGAAGTGGAAAAGAAGAAGCAGAAGGAGAAGGAGAAGGAAAGCGAGGCCGAGTCTAGCGGCGCAGACGAAGGCAGGGAAAGGGAAAGAAGGAGGATCAGTCTGGATGCTTTCAGACCGGGGAAGAATGCGGAGAAGGAAAAGGAGAAGAAGCAGCAGAGCGAGAGTGCATACCCCTAGGAGGAAGTAATGGTGTTGCATAGTGCCTGACCGACATGTTGCTGGCATATTTATCTTGTGCATTTTTTCTTGGAAGCGTTCAAGCGTTTATATACCTATGTAGCGATGTGGTTATGTTGGACTTACCTAATTATGCATCTTTCTTCTTCTTCACAGTCTGTACTTTTGGAGTGAGGGGTAATGTTTGAGTTCCTTTGCTGTTTTGGCGTTTACTAGCAACGCTGCTCAGGCAGAAACGTTGTATGCAAAGCTCATGCGAGGCTACCGATGAACTAGTGGTTCTAGACCACTCGTTTTGTATCATTGCCACATGGAATGGGAAATCCGTAGCACCACAAATGCGAGTGACATTCCGTCTCGCGAGTGAGAAAGGAAACATGGAGCATGGAGACTGATTCAAGCCCATCACACCGTGATGCTTTGTCAATTGTCTTGTATTACTTGAACGCAACCAGAACGGACGCTTCTATATCGTGTCGGCACCGCCGTTCTGCGATGACCATTGTATCCTCCGATTCCTTCTCCTCCAGTCACAACTCGTGGTAATCTTGCTCCTCCGTCTTCTACATCCTCTCATGGGTATAAACTTTCTAGCAGCCCTCGATCTGCTCAACACCGGCGGTGGTGCCCTTAACACACATGCCGTGGTTCTGACGGGCGGCAACTTCTATTCGTCCTGTCAGTCGTTGCTTCTGGTCATCGTTTTAGAAAGAAAACATACCCTCGTTGGCGACAGGTGCAGCCATGGCGAAAGCGGCCATGGAGACGATAGTAGCGATGACAGCGGAGAACTTCATTTTGAAATAGTGTTTAGGTGATTATTGAACTCGGAGAGTAGGTGTAGAAGAAGCGTAGAAGGTAGTTGTAAACGTGGTAAAGTCGCCCGGCGACAAAGAGTGAATGTATAGAAAGGTTGGAAAACAAGAAGATTGACTTGAAGAAGTTGACTTGATGGTGAGCTTGAAGTAAGGAAAGCGTCTACTAGCCTGAGGATACTTCCAACTTATAGCCTGCCAGCTACGGCGCATCTGACATAC